CATTTCTGCCACTTTGGACTTCAGATAGGATAGCCTTACAGATGATGTTAGAGTTTCTTCAATATTTGTTACATTTTCAGGAGTTCTAGATAGTAATGTCTGCCAATCTGCTATAGTGGATTCTCCATTACGTGCCCTAAAGCAATCTTGGTCATTACTTTTGCCATCAACTCTATGATTCTCTGACAATGTGACAACTTGTTTGAACTCTTGATATATGAGGTGACCCTGGATTTGCTTATCTGATTTCTGCAAAGAATGGAAAAGTGGTTTATCACCAGCCGGGGATAAATGTGCTATATCACCCACCAGAATAACAGAAAGACCACCAAAAGCTTGAGAGAGATGCATTTACTACTTCATGTTTTGCACTTACACATTTGAGTGAGAGTAAATGATGCATAACTTCTTGGATTGAAAAGTCTCTGTCCCACACTTTTTATCATGATTTGCTTTAACATGTTATAAATGTCACTTATCTGATATTTTACCGATAACATTGGTAAATGCATTATTTAGAACTGAAGAAGCTTTCTCTCCTTTTGATGTGTACTTCACAAGATATTCCAAACATACCCGATAATCCACAATAATTTGAATATCACAATTTGCTCTCTATCCTTGGAGTTGCAGTGGTTGGTGACAGTTTGATCTAGAATCATTCTGCTTAGTAACAATAGTTGCTCCATACTTTGTTTGGCCTGATTAAATGTTTATTGCTTTAAAATCTCTTCTTGTCTTGGCACAGTTTTCATAAGAAAATTTGAATCTACAGCTAGTACATTTTTGTTACTTTCTCTCAGACAATAATTAGTATGGCACATTGTATGCCTCTCGACAGAATTCAATAAATTCACAAAGTCTTCTTTTTGTGTTGCATTCAAGGACAGATAGGGTGTTTGACATGGATTAGAATCTGGTTTGGACCACCCTTCTTCTGGAGAACATGGATTCCAAGTTGTTAGTATGAAGTCACAAACTGACAAACAACAGACTCAGCTTGTATACCCTAATTTTTCTTACTCTCTAGTTCTAACATTTGTTCTTCTGACAAATTTCCTTTGCTCTCATTGATATACTTTGATGCTAAAAAACCTTGTGATGCAATTTCAGTCAGTTCACAAAGTCCTGGATCATTATTCAATTTAGCAACTCTGTGACAGTGAATTGAACTTCTCTGAACTGCATACTCATATCTGTACCAATGCCAAGAAGCCCCTAATGACTCTTTTAACCAAAACTTGACAAAATGATCTGTTTGCTCAGTGAAAAACTAATCCAAGATATGTGGATTTTCAAGAAAATTTTGCTGCATAATTTCTGGTCGAATGTGTTCAGAGTGAGGGTCACAAAAAAGCTCATGAAATTCAGGCCAATATTACTCAGCACGAGATAAAGTTAAAAAAAATGGTAGGAGGTCCTACTTGAGCAATGGTAGCCTGCAAATCCTCTTTAGCTTTGTGCCAATAGCTATTGTTACCAGTAACATTTTTAGCATAATGCATAAGCTTAGACATTAAAGTGGAATATGTATTCAATTGAAGCATCTGTTGAAGTTGTTAGACTGGTTAGACTGGTTTAT